CACTAGGAGACACAGGGAGGAAACAACTGCCTTTAGGAGGAAGAACCCTGGAGCACAACCATGGGTCAGGGTGGGGGGGGGGGCATCTCCACAAACATGGATCAGGCATTTCCTAAGTTCAGGGAGCTCAGCTCAACAGAGGCCTGCAGATTCAGAGTTTCAAAAGCCAAACTTTCCTTTCTTTGGCATAAAGAGTTGATTTTCATGGCTTCTTATTTTGAGTCAGTCTTCTGGTTTGAACTCATTTGACTGGACTTATTTGAACACTGGCTGGTTTTAAAGTAAACAGACAAACCCACCCCCCAGGTGGGAGTTTGGGAGTGATAGAGAGAGGTTGTGAGCTCTGGGATGAGCAGTGAGACGGAACAGAAGGAGGGAGAGCAGCTCTGGTGAGCGTCTGCACAGCCCTGAACAATTCTTTAAACAATGTAAATATCTCAGAGCAGCACAGTTAGCCTCCCCAGTGCTGGCAGTGTGAGCAGAAAAGCACTCAAACCCTCTGAAAGGCCTCTGAGGGTACTGAGCGTGAGTGGGGCTCCAGCTCCATGACCAGATATTTAGACTGAAACAGAGTGTGGAGGCACCAGGGATGGGGATCGTTAATATTTATTGATATCGATACCTTTATCGATACTCCTTATCGATCCGAGTCTTTATCGATACCACTATCCATACTTTTCTGTTATTTGGTGGAAAGACGATGCGACAATATTTAGCAAATAAATAGTTGTATTTAAAATGAAATGTCATTTTTAATAAATGTTGGCATCAGTAGTTTAATTATACATTCTAAAATAATTAGAGCAATATACAACTGTATTACTCATGTTTCTCGCCAAAAACTCAATTTCCCTTTTCTTTACGTTACACCTGAACGCATCACGATAACCTAATTGTGGTTTTACTGAGCCAATCTGAACACATCATCACGCAGCACGTCTGAAACTTTATTTACTTTTCAAGCTAACTAGCTTGTATGCTGCCGATTACACAATTACTATTGTAATAATAAAAAAACCACCAGACTCGATAGTGGTATCGATAAGCCCAAACGGTATTGATTTTCGGGTTTGGAAAAAAGTGGAACCGGTCCTTGATAGAACCGGGTTTCAATCCCCATCCCTAGGAGGCACATCTGCAGAGGGCAGCTCCGGGCTCATGGACTCATGGGCCCTGCAGCGTGTTCAGCTTTTGCTGGTCATCAGACAGGCTGTGCACATGCATCCAGGTGTTGGAGCCATGCCTGGGAGCCCAGAGGTGCAGGTCCAGGCAAAGCTGGCTCAGGTCTGGATCTGCCTCTGGGGCTAAGCAGTCTCACTGGATGGCAGCTTTTGTTTTTGGCCCATTTCAGAGCGATCCACAGCCATTCTGACTTCATAATGTCATGAATCTGCTCCCCCTATTGGGAACTATTCCACCACCCCCCCCCCTCACACTCCAGTGTCAGTTGGTACAGTCAGGTATGGGACAGGAGAGCCAGATGTGTTCACCACCAGAAGGAGATACAGTGGGGGAGTATTTGAGCCCTTGTTGATTTTGCAGAATGCAACGATCTATAACTTTAATCATATGTACATTCTAACAGTGAAAGACAGAATCCCAAAGAAAATTCCAGAAAATCACATCATATGAATTTATAAAAATTGATAACCATCTGATGAGGAAAAATAAGCATTCTTTGTAAGTGGGAAAACCTGCAAAATCAGCAAGGGCTCAAATACGTATTTCCCCCACTGTATTTATTGATTAAAGAGGAGGTGGAGAGTGAGGGTCTGGGTGGAGGCAGAGAATCCAGACGCTGTGGGGGGGTCTGGGAGAGGCTTTGGAGCAAGCAGCAGCAGATCCCGGACAGGCCGGAGTAAGTTGGCACAGGCAGAGCAATCCGGGGCAGGAAAGTAGCCGTTATCAGGTGGAACAGGTAGGAGGTCAGTTTGAGGAAGGCCAACGAACAGGTACACTCTAAACCACAGACGAACGGACACTGAATGTCTGGAGACCTGGGCCTTAAACTGTCACGGAGGTGGTTCTTAGGGAGGACTCGGTCGCGGAGATTCGTGAAAACAGGGTTTATTGTAACAAAAAGCACTCAAACGGAGTGGATGAAGACAAGGTTCAAAACAAGGCTGAGACAAAAACTATGATCAAAGTATCAAATAAAGATTAACAAAACTGTGGCAAGGCTGTGACAAAAACATGGCTATGGCAATAAAATTGAATGAAATTGAATTGAATTGAATTAATTTTAATTTTGTAATGTCATTGTCTGAACGTGTGTTTGGACTGATTTTGTATTGTGTGATTTTGTGTTGTTTGGTCTTCCTGCCTCAGGACCACAGATGTAAACTAGCAACTATGCTAGAATCTGGCTCATTTACAATCTGTATGAGATTGTTCATTAATGTGCACTGTCCTGATTAAATAAATAAATAAATAAAGTAAATAAGACTATGGCATGGCTGTGACAAAAATCAAAACCTTACGTGGCGAGCGGTGACGAGAACTGAAAGACGAAAACACACTGGCACAGGACATGGGAAACGAGGACTATTTAAACACTTGAGGGGGGGGAACCCCAGGTGAACACAATAGGTAATCAAGACATGACGACACACCAGACATTCCCCCAGACGTGACATAAACA